CGTGTCCTCAAAAATGGGTTCGAAATAGGTCAAACTGGTGCACGGTCCTGCAGATTTAATCCAGGCCACTCTACCTTGGTGCGGCGGCAGTATAATGGTCAGATGCCTGATAAATGGCGCAAGCGTGTCAGAGGCCGATCACGCCTTCATGTGTGCCTCCGTGAAAATCAAGTTCACTGAACCCTCGTGGAAAATGAATCGCAGCCCCGAATGCATTTTTGTTCTTGGGGGTTCAAATCGGAAACACAGTCAAAGGAACAATAAACGTGACGTGTAGACGCATCCATGTATTTACGAGAATGAAGTTGGACCTCAAAGACAACAGTGGACAGTGAATTCAGAGACTTGCCTGTGAACACATTTAACATGTTTGAAGCTAATCAAACGGAGTAGTACAGAATGGCGGAGACGTGGCGTTAAACTGAGTTCGGTTTCCTTGATTTTATTTGGGACATGGCTAAAATGGCCGCCTGTGAAGGACTTGGGCTTGCGGCATAAATGGGAGACCGCTCTATAAAACCTTGAGTGGCTTGGTTCACACGGGTGGTTAACTGTTGCAAGCTACTTCCGCTTGCAACACGACAGCAAAAGAATTACAGTTGGCAACACTTGACCGCATACGAGGCGATGAAATACTTCACGTCGACCGACACGGTGCAACAGAAAATTTGTGACAAGTTTTCGAGGGGAATAAGTTCTATGTAGCCCTACTAGTCCAAAGACGGCATTCTGATTAATATTTTGTCGGTGGAATATGAGTTAAGTAGCAAAATCCACCGTATTTGTCCACCTCAGGGGGCGGCCATTTTGTGACATGCTGTCGATGGAAAATGACATCACAGTTGCTCAGGGCTGAGGCAACAACCAATCAGGTTGTCGGTCATGTGCGATTTATGTACATAAAACAAAGTTCATACATCACTGCAAGCACTTGTGTGTACTCTACTTTTTTTTTAAGACTAAATATTGCAAGGATTTATTTATTTTTTAATTCTAATCATGATCGACTCGGATTTCCGGTGAGTGAACCATCGGATAGGGAATTGGAATGCTGAAATATTTATGAGACGGTTGCATATTCATCGAGGGGTTCTTTGTACGTGCTCATGTGGTCGTTCACAACATGTTCGAAAATTAAATATTAATGCATTTAAATAAAAAGGCCAGTTCTGGGCCAGTGCGCGTGTATTTGTGTGTGTGTGTGTGTGTGTGTTCCTGTGTGCACACAGGGGGAGGAGTGAATGGTGAGCTCTCGGGGCTGACTGGTGTGGAATCTCAAGTTTGTTGAGCCTGTCAGATAGGAGATATGAGAATCACCTTCGGATCCTCTCATTCACAGATATTGCAATCTGTCACACACCCCTCGATATATTTCTTGCAATGATGCAAGCTCAGTTCATATTTATGTATTCCTTGACATCGGGAAGCCCTTGTTTGACAACGGATGATTTAGTTGCGGTCTTTTGGGTTTTCACCGAACGTCCGTTGCACCCGTACCACAACCTCGTTTGCTGCACAACAGGCTTTGGATGAGCCCATTCGACGGAACGATCCACAGTCATAATATCATGAAATCTCACCAGGCTTTGTTATAACCAAACACTTGTGAAGTATGAACATACCGGCAATGTCAAACTTGCACGGAATGGCAATTAGTCCAATGTTTATTCCCTCCCTGACGTGGGACAGAGGCGCGGTACACTCTGAACTGGATGCCAGCCAATTGCAGACAATGAAATGATCTATCCACCCACCCATCCATCCATCCATTTTCCGATCCGCTTTATCCTCACAAGGGTGCTGGAGCCTATCCCGGCTGTCTTTTGGGCAGTAGGCGGGGGACACCCTGAACCAGTTGCCAGCCAGTCGCAGGGCACACACAGACGGACAACAAGCATCCACGCTCACACTCGCACCTCGGGACAATTTAGAGTGTGCTAAATTATCTTTTTTTTTCAATTAATACATTTCTTCTTCTTGTTTTCTTTTAATGACCGCGTTGAAGAAAATGCCAGTCATTTTCTTTTGGACGCGTATGTAAATCAGAAATATAGGGGGCTCGGTCCACCAACAAAAGTCTGACCTTGGGCGCCGCGTTGCGTCGGGCAGTCAGCTCTTGATAAAATCCCCAGATTGGGGATTTTGCATTTGGCATTCTGACGATGACCAGCAACGTTCTTGTTGATAGGGTGATCCAGGCAGGAGAAAGTCAATGCTTTCTGGGAAGGACGATTTCAGAAGAAAATACAACACCACTTAAAGGTTAATGGAACCTCCATGATAAGTTTCGTCTCCCTCGCTTCTGGAAAAATGGAACTCCACTCACATTGTGTGATCTCCTTGATAGCAGGGATTCGTTTGCTTTCTTGCAATAACATTTTTTTTCTTCTTTTAACTTCTTCCACTTTCACCTGCTGTCAAGTCCTTTGTCAGGTCGTACCCACTCTCAGCAAAATATCTCGTCTTATTTTACTTTGGACCACACAAACCAAGTGGCCCAGTGCAACATAAAATAAATAAAACGCTAGTCTTGCCTGTAGATGTTGTTCTAGTCCCGAACTTGAGAGAACTGGCAGTAACAACAATGAGAGCAGGACAGTATGCTGCCAAGCCTGAAGCAGAAACAAAAAAGAAAAAAATTTCTCCACCTTCTCTCAGTCAAAGCGATATCTCGCAGGGGAGCACAGCGCAGCTTGAGGTGAATTTCCTCTTTCTCATCACTCTGCACCTGCCTTTTCTTCCCTTCACTTTTCTCCTCGTGCAGTTTTTAAAGAACAAGTTCATCTCTCGGTATGGAAAGAGGAAAACTCTGCAAGGTTGTATGCATTTGAATTGCCGTTTGGAAAGTAGGTCAAGTGGCATTTACATGTATTCAATGTTCTTTTTTTTTCACCAAATGATGTCACATTTTTTTTTTGGGCAGATTAAAATTTTCTTGTTTTGCTCGATTTATTTATTATTTTTTTTTTTTATGCATACTGATGTAATTGCATTTACAATAACTCAGCTCAACTTCTTGAAATGATATAGCGCTTTCACAACATCCGCAGCTGTAACAAAGCGTTTTCCAAAAAACGTTAACAATAATACAATCATGACAAACGAGCAATTTCATCACATGAATGGTGTAGCGGTCGTGCGGGTCGCTGTCTCTATGTGACATAAAAAATAGAGAGCACCGCATAATGTTGGCATGCGCACTTCGGTTTCGGATTCGGAGGTTTGTGGTGGAATTGCAGGATTGGAGGGAGGTGAGCGGCAGGGGCGTAACAAATTGGAAGGGGGGAGGGGGTATCGCCAACCAGGGATTAACGCGAACACTCGCCAGCCTGCCGGTGGCGGGTGAATTGAATCGTTGGCGGGTAACTCCATCACTCCAAGTTTTATATTTGGACCCACATCTATAGCCCCCTCCAAAGAAGAAAAGGCTATGATTCGAGACACACGGGCCGCTTCTATTTTAAGCTGCACATCATTACTGGCTTTTGCGGTACTGACGAATGAGATGCGGGTTAAGTCATCCCGTGTGACAGCCAGTTGAGTCTCTGTCATGGGAACGCAACCACACAGGGTGGAAAGCAAGATGTGTCGGGTACAACCGGTACAGTGGAAAAGGAACACAAGTTGAGACCACTTCTTCAAAGTGGATGCGCGTGAAAGGACGTTATGGGACAAAAACGTCAAGGTGTTGAACAAAGGCACACTCAAAAAATGGTCCAGTTGTTCACATTCCATCCATTCTCATGTAGCACTGGTCCCCACGAGGTTCGTGTGTGTGCTGGATCCGATCCCAGCTGTCGTTGGGCGGCAGGCGGGGTAAACCTTGAACTGGATGTCAGCCGATTGCAGGGCACACATCGACAAATGATTATTCACACTCACAATTGTATCTGGGGGACATTTCGGATGTGTTCGCCAGTCGGCCACAATTTGGCCAACAGTTTTGGGAAAATTGTGCCTCGCGGAAGTCATCCAACCCGTAAGCCTCTCAATGTTAGCATATTACGCAAGACTTGAACACACGTCACTTTGAGCTCAGGACAAAGCAGTCGCCAACGCCACCGTGGGTGGCAGCAGTGGTGCCAACTTGTAGCCACTTTGTCTCTGTATTCAGCATTCTTTCCATCACCTCAAGTAGCTTTTTTTTCCCTCCAATGAAAAAAAAAGCACACACAATGCGACAATTCTTGCGATTTCTGACACGCTGCGCCGCCAAAATGAAAACATTCAGTTCAAACCCTTGAACAATTGCTTTGAAATCCACTCCAATTTGAAGGTGACCGTTTCAATGGCATGAATTCGATTTTCTTGGTATGTGTACATGTGGTCGACATTGCATGTTCATGAGCAGACTTAACTCACCCCCCGGTACTTCATGTGTCGAGGGGTGTGCACTTGAAGAACTTGAGTTTTGAAACCCAGCTCGGAGCAGTACAATCAACAAAGCTTTCAGAGGGAGATTTCACTTACTTGCATCATGAAAACAATTTAACTGGAATTAGGTGCCACGATGGGAGTGAATTAAGCTCCTATGTTGCCCCATTCTCACTTGAGAGCAATTCCTTTTCACCTGCTCTAAAAAGAAAGAAAATGAATATTTTCACTTGATTTAAGACGCTTTCACTGCTCATCAATCCACTTGAATGTGGCTTTCATTGTATTGGACCTTTGTATTTAAATTGTGCTCAGTAGCCTATAGCGCCCCAGCAGTGACACATTGAAACGGGTTGTGGGAGCAATGAGGGGAGTGTGCCTGCTCTAAAAATAAAAACAAAAAATCCCACGGCGCCTTTTGCTTACAACTTGAGCAAGAATCCATAAGTCGCTGCTTGTTGGCATAAATGGACATCAAGCCGTCTGAGAATCTTTGCAGAGATTGTCCACAATGTAAGAACTAGAATTCAACCAATGCATGATGTGGCACTTTATTTTTTTGTATGAGCAAAGTCCTCAAATTTCCACTCATGTGGCTGGCGCCCAATCGAGTGAGGGAGCGCGAGGCGAGGCGGGTGCTGGTGGCGCATTCCCGTGCCGCAGCACTCACACACGCAGAGCGTTTCCACGCGTCACCAGTGGGCGCAAGTTTCTGCGCCGCGCACAAAGAGGAGAGGCAGATCCCGCCGTGGGATGCGCGCATCGAGAATCGCCGCTCACTGGCACCGCTGTCCTCCCTGTTTGTTGGCCGCACCTGGTGGAGTGGCGATTGGGGGAGAGGATCGAGGAAGGGCGGCCGTCACCCAGCGGCTGTGAAATCGCGGCGTGCTGGGGCGGGGGGGTGGTGGTGCGGATTTGTGGAGGTGGACGCGCACCTGGACGGAGCAGGATCGAGTCAAAAGCACGGAAATAACAGCTGCGGGCTTCCAGGCGCGCAAACGGTTTGCGGCACACGAGCGCATACTGGAATTACCATCAAGGCAGTTTCATCAAGCGGAACCGATAAGCGTCGCAGGAGAAGTAAGTATCGATTTAATTGGATCTTTTGACACGTTTGGAGAAGAAAAAAAAAGCAACAGCAACAACAATATGCCAAGTTGGCATGCGATCCGTAGCGCGATGAAATGGCAAGTAATTTCACTTGATGTAATCAACGCTGGGAAACTAAATGACTCCTGCGAATCGGAGTAAGGGGCTTCGATTGAGGGTGCGCATGCCACGAGCGGCCACTCATGCGCGATGCTGATGACTGCGTTTCTGGACGAGTCTCGAATGCTTCGGATGGTCCTACTGGGAGTGAAATGGATGGGGCTCATTTGCTTCATCCAGCGCCCATTCCAGATGGCACCCCCAGTGCTGCTCGGTCGCACAGACAAGCAGAGAGCAGCAGGGCCGAAGGAAAGCCGACAACTTTCTTTGTTTTTAGAGACAGTGTTTAACCCTACTTGAGGTTACAGTATAGCCTGTAGCCGCAAATTGTATTCCAGTCTTGCTACCTACTTTTCACACGCCTCATTCTTTCAGCTGCGCGTTGCACGACATCTTCTTTTCTTATTACCCACTCAGTTGAGTTGCTCCCGAGCTATGAAACAGGCATTTACAAGCCCGCTCTTCTGCAAAGGATTCTTTCCTCGAGAAATCTCAATATTTACCCAAGCTGGTCTGTAGACTTTGGCTTAAACCCAGACACGGACCCGACAGGAAGACCAGCATCTTCAAAGCACCTCATTACCCAGATGGGATTATAATGCTTCCCCTTGACATTCGTGTTTATTTATATAGTTTCTTTGCACATCATTTGACGATATCAAGCAGCAGCTAAATGGGAGGTGAAACATGTCTTTGAAGCCATGTTGCGAATTATTCCATAGCCCGGCGAAATCCTGCATGGCACTGCAGGCGTGCCTTTTTATAGCACAATACGCTTTGCAAAGTGTTCGGCAGCATGTGAAAGGCCGACAAACGTTGCAGCCAGTCGGAGACGCTGCCAGGGGGAGAAAAGTGAGGGCGATTCCATGTGTGGCTGTGGCTCCGGAAAAGAGTATTTTCAATTTGCAGAATTTAACGCAAGCGGTGGTGCCCCAAAGTGATCACACACGGCCTGGAATCCCTGACAGCACTCCTGCCGCCATTCCGTCTCTTGAGTTTGTTGGAAACTGAAAAAATGATTTGGAAAACCACACCAAGAGAGTGGGAGGAAAAGTGTGTTTCTTGCTGGCCTTCCTTGAGCGCCAGTCGCGTGTTTGTGGCTGCATCAAGGTCCGGGGGATGTGCTTGGCTGATGATGGGGGTGAGAAACGGTTCACTGCTTCTCTGTCTTTTAGGTGCGCTCACTCCCATTCTGGGTGTCAAGCAGCAGCTGAGCGTTGCCGCCACGCCGAACACAGGAGGGAGCCGCTTAGGCCATGCGGCTGTCTTTGAGAAAATCAGTACACTGAATGTGGAAATGCACACTCAGCCGTCTAGCTAGCTACACTGAAAAAAA